GTACATCCTTCTCCTGACCTTTTTCATCAGCCGGGCTGGCTGCTTTAGACCCCAGGCGGTGGTACAGCAGGGCTTATGGCTGGAAATAGCCGCTCTCTCGATGCTCTTTTCTGACTCAAAACAGCAGCTCTGTGAGATGACATGGCAGCTAAAATGGGACAAAGCCGGAGGGCCAGGTGCAGCCTGTGTGAAAGCTTTCATAGCATACCCAGGTGCCCATTAATGTACTGAACAGGGGAGGGAGAAAAGGAGAGAGAAACCAGCCACCTCTTCCTGCGCACGCACGGTGGCTCAGGCTCCCGGCTGAAGCCCGAACCAGGTGTTTCCTGGGGTACGTGAGTGAGGGGGACCCTTTCTGCAAGATGCTTTGGTCCCCATCCTGCTCCTTCTCCTCCTCTCCCCTCGTGCCTGCAGATGGTGTGGGAAGTGGAGCCGCCTCTATGCCCCTGAGGTCAGGAATTTGTCCCACTGCTTTCCTGCACTCCTACACCCTACAAAACCATTCCTGCCCCTGGTTTTGTGCTCTGACCTGGGCACCGGCAAGTAGATGGGGGCTGTGGCCAGCGTGGAGCCCGTCGCAGCGGGGCTCTGCTCCGTCTCCATCGGTCGCTGTCAGTGTGGTCACCCACAGCCACGGGGTTTGACATAGGCAGGTAGAGGACACCAGCACCCAGGTGGCTGGCTGAGTTGGGTGAGGGTCTATAAGTAGAGGTTTCATATGATGCCTTCAAACTCTGCAGCTCTCCGGGGAGCTGGTGGCTGACTTGCAAGTGAAATGCTACACACCAGCAAAATCCTGTATGTGCTGCTGTATCCCTGGTTCAGCCTGGTGATGGACTGAGCCACTGTCCCAGTGCCAGCTGGGTGCCCACTGCTGGAGCAGTGTCCTGCAATGGGGTCTGTAGCTCATGCAGTACCTGCTCCATGCATGGCTCTTTAGTGGCCTGGCTGTGCTGTTTCCCAAACCTGAATCCAGTCCTCCATGTGCCCAGTGCCGCCCACACCCTGCTTTGCTTGTGCTTATCTCCATCCCACCCTGGGGAGCCTGGGCCTGGTGGGTGCCTGGGTGGGGATGTTCCCGTCCACCCTGGAGGACCGATGTGTGGGTGTGGGAGGACCTAGTTACCAGGTTAGGAAGCTTCTGAGCTGTTCATAGTCCATCCTAGTAACCCATCTGAAAATTTGGTGCGTGTAGTCCCTGGAGGCACTTGCTCCTTTGGGAGCACAGAACAGCCCAACACGTGGTCCTACCAAAAGGTCTCTGTGACGCCAGGAGGGTTTGTGCCCCCATGTCTGAGTGATACAGTGCAGCAGATGGGGCGAGTAATGTGCTCACTTGGCCAACCCCTCTGTTTTGCAATAGAACGCGACTTTTTGAAGAGAAGTCAGAGTTTTTCAGAGAGTTTGGCAGCTGTGGATGGCAGCTGTGGTGCATCTGATAGAGTTCACGCTGCCGGCTGAGCCTCTTGGCTGCTCTGCCCCATGCCGGGTGCCAGTCCTCCGGCATTTGCATCCAGGCCAGCACATGGGACCCTGAGAGCTGCCTCTCGGCCTTGCAGGGGAGCCAGTGCTAGTGCTAAGGGCATGCCGTAACCCTGCAGCTCAGTCGCTGCCTGTGAGCTCCGCAATGCGAAATACCTGAGAGCCAGCGATCCCTGCGAGGCAGCAGCATGCTGGAGACACGGCAGCGAGGTCAGACTAAACATCAGCTGTGCACAAGATGGCTGATGTTTTGTCCTGGAGGAAAAGATCCTGAAAAGACCTTGAGGAGGCAGTGAGGCAAGGCTCCCTGCCAGGATGGGACCCTTTTCCCAGCCACAGCCTTTTTGGAGAGACCCTTAGTGTCCAGCCGGTGGCAATCCTTGCTGCCCCAACATGTGCCCCCGGGCTTGCATGACCTGGACATTTATCCCAGAAAAGGGAGGCAAAACAAACCCTGAGCTTCTGCTGTAGCTGAAGAGTCACGTCGTGTTTCGGGATGCTGCAGAAGCTGCATCCCCAGGGAGGCAGCAACTGCACCAACCCCTCTCCTGAGTGCTGGCATCCTGGGCTGTGGTTGCCGCCAGCATCGCTCCTGTGGCAGACCCTGCCAGGTGGGTTTTGCTGGGGCAAGTGCTGCTGGCCCGGGAAATTAGGATGGATGGTTAAAGTGGGCCAAAAATAATTTATAAAAGGCGTCTACTGAGCCGCTGTGTGCCGCTTCCCGGCTGGAAAAGGTTGGTACAGTTAGTTGCAGGAGCATGGGAGATGCTAGGGTGTCGAAGAGAAACTGCATGTGGTGCTTTCATGAAAGGTCTGTGGGTGTCCCTCCAGCCATGCTCAAGACAGTTCATTACCAGCCTAAACCCGAATCAAACCCATCTTTAGGCTTGCTAACCTTAATCACTGCCCCGGAAGCGTGGTCAAATATTCCCGTCCATGTTTGTACCCCTTTGCCTGGTTTTGAGGTGTGGCAGCGCTTCTCCCCTTGTACTGCAGGAGACAGGACTCACCGGGCTTTGCTCTTCCTTAAATATACAGGTCAGGAACTAACAAGTCAAGTCCATATGGCCTTGTACTAGTAAGGAAGGTTTTAATATCTATTTTAATAACTTTTAGGTTAAATACCACAAATCAGAACGGCTAGAAAGAAAATAAAACCCCCAAGCCTATATCCATACGCTGTGTCTGCAGATTACCTCACAAAAGACCTTATTAAAAATCTTTGAAAGTACAAATAAATGTCAGTTCATTCCCTTTTAGCCACTTTTTGGCTGGCTCAGCTGAACATCCCATTGGGTTTGTGAGAGGATGGCATTTGCTCTGCAGCAGGCATCCCCTGGCTACAGTCAGTGGGTTTATGATGTTTCTAAATGTGTCTTTGCTTCTCCTTTATTTATTGCCTCCAGTGATTTGCCAGGTAGGGGTATAAGCCCTATGGTTCTGCCCTTCTCTGGTGGGCTAAAGCTTTTTGGAAGTCTCAATGCAAATTGCTGGCATAAATTAGCCCATTTCATTCTGTCTCCAACTTGAAAACTTCCTTTTTCTTTGAAAAGCAGGATTAAAACAGAAAGGAGAGTTGGCTTTGTAGCCTGTCTTGCAAAGGGGAGGAAGGAGGACAGTTGCTTTGTTTGGGGAATAGTTTTGGTTGTTTGTTTCTTTAGAAGCAGACACAAATACCTGCAACATTGGCAGACTTGAGTTTCTTCTTGGTTTTTTGTTTTTTGTTTTTTTTTTAATTTAGGATATTAGGTCTTGATAGGTTGCTCTTTTTTTTCCTGGAAGACTTTGCCTGGTACTGGTGGTGTAGAAGATGGATTTGACACAACCCAAGCAAGGGGGAAAAACAAGAGCAACCAAGAGGCTCCAAAAATATTTTAGTCAATCAAACAATTCAAAACATACATGTTTTATGTTGGTTCCTTTTAGCAGCCGTTTGTCTCCAGATGTCTGGCAAGTGGTTGGAAGAAGCATTTTATGTGAAAATTCCAAGAGCTGTCACTGCTTCAGCTAGCAATGGAGAAAGTTTCCATCTCTGTTTATCCTTATCTAACTGTCCTCCTGCAGGAAACAGGATGGAGACTGGAGATGTTAGGGAAATATTGCAGGTCATGCAAAGAGAACCCAATTCAGGATTAAATAACAAATCTATGTCTAAAGAAACCCCAAACCCCAAACCCCTTCTTGGCTACCTTGGGATTTTTATAGACCAGAAAGCAAAAGCCCTACAACAAATAAAACTCGCACAAAGCCACAAATTGCCTGCGACCTTTAGGAGACCATAAGAGACTGTCATCGCCCTGTCTTTGCCCCTGGGAGTGACGTTGCAAAGGGCTGACTCACTCCACAGCATGAGACCATCTTCTACCCAGGGAGGACATTTCGGCTTAACTGATATGGCTTGTATCTTGGGAAAGATCGGAACTTGCTTCGAAAAAAACCTTCTGCTGGTTTGCCCACTGGCTTTGCCCAGCTGAGGAGCTTTTGCAAAACATGAATGGAGCTTTTGCTGCTAAAGCTTTGGGGAAAAAAGAGGCATAGCTACATCGCTGCTTTTGCTCTTGGAAAAAAAAGAAGTAATTATGTTTGCATGCCACAGGCTGAACAGCTTGAGCAGAAATCTGCAAAAAGCCTGGCCGCTGCCAGGCCCATTCCCACTGCCGGCGAGCAGGCACGGCTGGGCTCAGGGTTGCCCCTAATCAGTGCTGCCCTCCCCCAAAAGCATCGCTTTGGCAGCAGCTGCTCGGCTTCCCTCTGCCTCAGCCCCGAGGCCCAGCTGCGCCAAAGCCTGTCCTGGTGGCCACCACGGCTTCCCCAACCCTGGCCAGCTTAGTGCCAGGCATGGGGGACCAAATTAATGATCAGTGCAGACTTAGACACGGTTCCCCATTCACTGTGCTGCTGCTCCTGGCATCTGTGTCCTTGGGTAAACAAATGGTTCTGTGACAATTTTATTTTTCCTTCTTTTTTTTTTTTTTTTTTTTTTTTTTTTCCAGAACAGAAAGTCAAATCTGCCTTACTTGGCTTGGAAAGTGGCAAGAATAGGATGGGAGGAAGTTGACTGGATGTGACTTTTCAAAAAGGTGTCTGCCAGCAGGAAAACAAATGCTGAAGGCAAATAATAAAGTTTGAAAAAGTGAAAAATTTAAAATTTAAGGAAAAAAAGGAAGAGAAATCTCATGAGTATCACAGTTTGGGCCATCAGACAAACCAAAGTTTATTCTTTGGTTGTCTGTGCAGTCCCAAGAAGCTGCCCAGGACGGGGCTGGCTGTGCCGAGCAGTGCTGCCGGTGCTGTGCCAGGCCATGCTGGGGGCAAGCGGGGGTTTGTCCTGGGACACAACGGCACATCAGAACATGGCAGTTGTCACGAGCCAGGACTGAGCCCAGGTTAAAAAAAAAAAAAAAATACAAAATACAGCCTGTTTGGGCCCTGGGAAACAGAGCACCCCATCCCCCTGTCACTGCCCCCCCCCCAACAACTTTCCAAAGGGACCGAGAGACTTTCTGCAGGCTCCCTGTTGCATCGCGTGGTCCTGGGGGGGAGGCAGCCCCAACATCACCCCCGTCCTCCCCGCCAGTCTTCCCTGTGTGAGGTTACTCAACTGTGCGTATGAAAATAACTCCTATGTCCCAGTTTATTATTTCTCCTAAGCGGATGAGAGGGTTGGAGGCTGATCAGAGCAGAGGAGTCTCCTGGTGAGTTCATTCTTCAAAAGCTCGGGTGGGCTGCTTCTCATTAGAGCTTGCTAGAGTGCCAAGAGAAAAGAGCATTTCTCTCTGGATTCATGTGCACGTTCCTCTACCGCTGTCCTGGAGCTGCTACAGCTGCTCCTCTCTTGGGATTTGCCAGACACAGCAAACCCCATGCTGTTTAAACTGCATGGGGTGCTGGCAGCCGGAGGTGGAGGGCTCGGAGCAGCGTGAACTCCCAGCTGTGCCCTGCTGCCACGGGCACGGCACCCATCTCTCTTGCAGTGCCTAGGTGCGGGCTCGCGCTCCATTCACAGACCCCGTGACAGATCAAAGAACGACTGAAAAGTCTGGAGGGGGCCCTAAACAGCTTTGTTTCTCCCCACCCAAAAAACCCCAAGCCAAAACCCCAAAACCTCCGAACATCAAGAAGTGTCTGGAGTCAACAGGCTTAATTTAATGATGATGGGTTAAAACTGCTCCGAGCCGTGCTATGGGATGGGATGCCACCAGCACTACTCGCTACCCCTGTCGTCCTTGCTGGTTGCTCCAGGGTTGCAGTGTGTTTCCTCCACCCAGCTGATGAGCATTGCTTCGGGCAGTGGGTGCGTGCAAGACCAGGCTAATGAAGTAGTCCTCCATCAGAAAAACCTTGCTGCTGACTGCAATGTATTTTCCACAGGTGTAAGGACTGCTTCTAGTTCTGCTGCTTGCTGCCTAGCTGAATCAATAAAATAACTTGCATCCAACAGCAAACGCTGACATGCCTTTCCAACCCAGGTGTTGGAAAGGTGTTGCACTTTGAACCCCTTGGAAATGGGCCACCGGAGGATGGGGCAGGAGAGAGCAATGGGTTTTGCAGGGGGGGCAGCCCCAAAGTCTGGTTTTAGTGACTTGCTTTGAAGGCTCATTGCTAATTGTGAAATATTTTTGCACGGTTGCTTCTGTGATGACTATTTAACTAGTTTTGCTCCCTAATGATCATGATGATCGCAGTGCACAGAGTGAAACATTTAAATGTGATGCGGCAGAGGAGAATTTGCCTAACTGCATCAGTGGCTCTGAAAACGTCCAAAAGGTCATCTTGCTCACGGCCACACCACCTGCGCAAACTCCGACATCTTCTCTGGGTCTTGGTACACCCTGCTGTACTCCGTACCCCTCCTACACCCCTAGGCTCTGCTGTCCCAAGCTGGCACATCAGCAAGTCCCACTGATGGCTGCTACTGCACCAGCCAGGCTGCAGAACATTTCTACTTATTGTGCTTTGGGGTCATCAGTTGTTAGGGTTTAAAATTTTATTTATTTTTTTAAATTCCTGGATAAGTCCCTCAAAAACACTTTGCTATACTACTGTAACAGACTTAAGTTCAAAGAGATGCTCAAGTGCAAACAAAGCTGCTGAGACAGGACATGGAGCATTTCCCTTTAATCTAACTACTTCATTGGGACCTGCCTAAAGAAGTTATCCTACCGTTACTGTAAAATATGTTTGCATTTTTGAAATGCTCTTGTCTGGTCTCATAACAGAGCAGCTTTTCTGCTTAGTGTCTTTCTTACGGCTCTGGACTTACAGAAATTCTTGTTTAATGTTATCGTTCTGACCATGCTGTTGACCACCAGCTGGTCTCTGCTCAGTAACATCTTACCAAGTTCACATTTCATACTGACTGTGTGTATGAGCTTCTGGACACATTTTCATAACAGATCAGAGAATCTCATGTTCCTGAACTGTCGTACTGTTTGGCCACCTTCAGAAGAGCCTTCTGGGACCAGAAAAGGGGGATTGCCCCTGGCCTGCAATGCAGACCATTTTCAGGGAGAGTTTCAGCTATGTTTTCTGTCAGTTTTCCCCCCCATCTTGCAGACTCAAAAGGTTTGATGGGCTGGTCTGATTCGGCTTTACTTACCGATGGCAGCTGATTCAAGTGACCTCAGGGTCTGAGGTTTCTTTCTCCACTCTTCTGTGCTTGGGTGAAAGCTTACCAGGCTGGTTCAGTGACTCTCTTTTGGGATCTCCTGCTACTGGCTCATCTCTGGGTCCTTGCAGCTCACTGAGGAGGTGGCTCAAATACTTTTAGGAACTCCCGAGTCCGCATAGGATGTATGCGACTCTGAGGACAGAGTTTGGTTACACTTAGCCTGTGATTGCTTGTCAGCTGCTACTGAGTAGGTTCATTTGCTACGGATCCAGCTACCCCAAACTGCACTTTTTCTTGCACGCTTTTGCCATTTCCCTAGCGTTTGATCCAGCAGGCACGTGGTGACTCACTGCTCCGGTAGAAACCCAATGCAGCAAGATCCAATAAAGAGGATGCCGATGGATCAGTGAGCCAGAGAATCAGCAGAGCTAACGAACACCAGCCAGGTGTTTCCTTTACCACCACTACCAATTCAGTCAAGGGGCCACGTTGCACCTTCCCTGTTCTTGTAGTGTTATTCTTCAATATGCAAAGCCACCTTTGAAATGCCCTTTCTGAGCAGACAGGGTAACATCTTACTTGCGAATAAGCAAACCTGTTCAGATGATGCAAACATGGCTATTTCCTGCCAAATTAGCAATGCCTAAGTGTGTCCAAGTTGTTACAGCAGCCAGCTGCTGTTATTAACCTTTTAAACCATGCGAGTTATGAGCTCCTTATTGCGCAAACATTCTGGCGAGAATGAGAAAGAGGGTTTGCAACCAGCTCTTTCTAGGAAATAAGCATGGTAAACCGATGGACAACACTAGGCATGTTCTGTGGGATGGTACGCAGGACACTCGCATACCAATACATCTGTTTGGTTTCGTGCAGTGTTGCTTTATGGTAGGTGTAAGTTTGTTACAGTGCCATGCTAGAAACCAAAGTGGTCTTACAAACTGTGAATGGTCCTGTTGATAAAGTAACTCTACTTAGCACTATAGCCACATTTGAAACTTCACCTTCACCTTTTTCTTCAAGCAGAAAGCCAGATTACAGCCCCGTTGCACCGACCACGCAGGAGATGGTGTATCCATGTGCCAGGTAAGAACTGCAGCTTGGGTAGCAGCTCAGGTTTGTGGTAAGTATGAAGACCCTCCCACCCAAAGCGTTCCCCAGTCATGCCCAGGAAGCCCTTTCCTGAAGGTACCAGGCACAGAGGTTTTCATGGGGAAAAGATGCACAACACTACATCTACTGCTCCGTAACACACCAGCAGAGATGAATCAGGACCACGGTGACTAACATAGACACGATGGAGATTTGGTGTGTACACTGGCTTGTGTCTCTAGTCCAGGTACAGTCTCTCCAGACCATCTCCCCAGGACCTAGCTTGGCTACTCATGCCATTACTGACTCCCTGGCTATAAAGCCAGATCTCACTCCTAAAAATCAGTTCCACTCAAAAGCATCAGTATTAGAGGAGGACACTGAACTGTTGCTTGATGTCTCAGGCGGTCCTTCTTCCCCAGCACAGGGGTGGGCATTTAACAACCTTCCTCCCTACCCCTCAGAAAAGGGAGAATAAACTCCTCCAGTAGATGGGAGGAATGAACAAGAAGAGGCTCTGCTGCCTACATCTTTGCTGGAGTAAGGGCTGCTTCTCGTAACCTTTTGGTGAAAGTGTTGAGCACACGATACATTGAGTTTTGCTGCTCTTGTGCTAACCACATTGTAATCACAAGCAGTTCTGCCTCATCTGGAAGAGGAATCTGGTTTTCAAGGGAAGCACAGCTGAGAAAAGCTTCAAACAGGATCTGATTAGCCAATTAAAAACAGATGCTGTGCTGGCAGACAGGCTGCTGTGGATCATCTGATACAATCCCCTTCCCCTCGTTTTTGTACATAATGTCCTTCCAAGCAAAGCCACCTCTCCCATAGCTATGTCTAAATTGCATTAGGAATCTTGGCATTTTTTCAGTTATACATGTTGTGAATGGTTTTGCCATTTAAAATATTTCAGAGGGATTGTAGAGTCAAGTAGTTGACTGCTTATCAGAAATCCACCTGGTATTCAAAGGAGGCAGAGGCCATGCTGCAGAGGGCCTGGGGCTGTAGCATTTTAGTCTGTGCAGTCCTTAACCTTTACACAGCAACTTTTCCGCCCATTCTCCTGGAGGAGAGAGCTCCATCAACCCTGGGACCAGAGGAGGAACACCCTCCCCACCACACCACACGCTTTGCTTTAGTTTTAAGCATATGAGCTAAGAGGGCTCTGTATCCCAATGCTGAGGCATAAACCATCTTTCTCTCGTTCAACTTTGGAAGGAAACAGCACCTTGCAGCAGGTTTGCTTGCCTCTCACTGCTCCAGTATAGCTCAGGGCTGCTTTAGCAAACCCACATCCTCATCTCAGCCTAGTGCAGACTGCATGGTACTGGTCTATGTACTCAGTTGTTTATCCCTCTAACTTGGGACCTTTCCCATGGGAGACTAAAGAAAATCCATTGGGCCAGCTGCCTTAGGAGTACAGCTAGGTACTGCTGTCAGTCCTCTTTGGCACTGGAGGATCACAAATTGAGTTGTTCCAGGTAGACTTCTTACCCTCTTCCCCAAACACAGCTGAAACACCTCCCCGAACTCTCCCAAGACTGCACTTGCTAACAGAAGTCACTGGGATCAGTTCCTATTTAGCCAGAATCAACATATTCAGGAATTTCTGTAATAGACTTAGAGGTGCAAACAAGTTTTAGATTGGGACTATTCATTTGGTTGCTTGGTCACAGATGTAACAGGAGACTCATCCCCGGAGAGGCCAAGGAAAGGGGATAACGCCTTTTGCTCTTGTTTTTCAGTTTGACAAAGGAGAAGGGCTGATATCAGCTTGTTGAATAGCAGAACCATCTAAATTAATTTCACATGGAATGTCTGGTCTCAGCAGGGGGATGCTAATCATCTGCAGCACTACAGCTACAAAAGTGCTCAGGGAAAGACCTGGGAGAAGGCCTCATTCAGCACAAAGCTGAGGCAACAGAGGCATATGCGATAGGAAAAATCAGGGGTTTAGGCTACTGCTGGGGAAGAGAAGATGCCAGAGAAACTCAGCAGCTCTGTTTTCATTCTAGGATCTTGTAAGCAGGAGAGCATGGGAAAAGAGCAGCTCAGCTTCGACTGTACATGGCAAATCCACGCCAGCTCAATGGCCTGCAGAAAGCTGACATTCTGACTTTGCCCACAACGTTTTGCCACTTCCTACTCCTGTTGTCGCATCCGGTTAAGAAACAAGTACAAAACACAACAGGAGAAGCAGCCACCAGGCACTTTACCTTTCACTGACTTGGCAATTGCTTCAAACACTGGCTTGGCCAAACAACAACAGGTAAGCCAAGATACTTTGAGTTGCCTGTCCATGGTCAGACATCACCTTGACAGACTCCAGCTCTTAAGACATCTAATTGCAGTATCAGCAAGTGAATATAGGATGTTTTCAGAAGTGTGGCTAATGAGTGCCTAAGCACCACATCTGAGTTTTACTGACAACAATGATGTCACTCTACTGTCAACATCACACAGGGCATTACAGTGGTAATAACAACACTCATAATTATGCTAATGGACTTCTCTGTGGAGACTCCCCTTTTTGAGCCTGCAGATGGTGTGAAATAGCTTTAAGCAAGGCAATAAAACCTTCATCAGAACTTTTAATTCTGCAGTGACTGCACTGGGTAGGGGTGTTAAAATGCACACAGAGTTATGACATACACAGACTGCCTGCCTAGCCTCTTCAAGAGAAAAGCATTGTAGCCACCCTTAACCAGGGCATGCCAGTGTTCTCAGCCAAACCAAATGTAGTTCAGCTAGTTAATTCTAATACACAAAAAAATTTGCATTAAAACAAACACTTTAATACCAATGATTATCCTGAGCACTTCAATGATTTGTTTTTTTTCACTGGCATGTTACATTTAAAAGTCTCCATTAAAAAAAAATAAATTGGTAAATCGCCACAACTCCAGACTCACTGGAAAATGCAGGATCTTTGCAGCACAATGCAGGTCTGTCTTGCCACTGAGATCTGCAAGACTTGGGTAAAAAAAAAAAATAATTTAAAGCAAAGTCTTTCAAGGGAAAAATATACACAATAAGATGCACAGTGCCAAGATCTCCTTTTTGCTTTGCAAATGCTCTGGAGGCACATTCGCACTTCACTGAGCCAAGTCATTTCTTAAAATGACTGGACTAGGGTTTGAAAAACGTGCAGACTGAGTCCTAAGAAGAACTGTTTAGGTTTTATGACTCTGAGCCATCTGTGAGCTAAAGGGACAGAAACCATCTAAAAACTATGAAGCTGAGAGTTCGGTTTTCACAATATGCTCTGAATCACCTTTAATCTGCCTATTAATTGGACACTGGCTGTTCTGCAACAGCCCCACTGAAAATGCCATGGGTGTGAAAAACAGCAGATGGTTAGTGGGGGTGGAAAGCTATACGAATCGTTAGAGAAGCATGGAAAATTCATTGCTGGCTATAAAAGTCACCAGACAAGGGCAGCTGTAAACAGCTAGGTGAAAAGAGGAGGTAGGGACATGTGGTAGCTGCTCTGTATAGGCTGTGGCTATTTCCTTCTCAAAACCCACCAGAAAAGTGCTGAAAGAATCACATGTGAACTGACCATAAGGTGCAACCCTCCCAAGTATTAGCACCAAGGTGGTTTTCCATTGTGCCACAGTTTCCACCTTTTAGCAGCACCTTAGATCTGATAATGGAATCACATAAGGACCCTGGGGGACACTTAAAAAGCAAAACCACTTGCTTTTTATATGTTGTAAATGCATGACTATTAAACCCCAGCTAAGCGATTATCTTAATCTGTAATTGACATACCAACATGAGGAGGATAAACCCAACATTAAGCCAGGAGGCCAAGGGAGGAAAGAAAGGAACCTCAGTATGGGCCATCTTTCACTGCACTCCTAACTTACAAAAGCCCCAACTCTCAGACTGCAAACACAAATTGTGACATGCAATTAGATGAGCAAGAGAAGATTTTTTTCCTGTTTACCCCAACAATTTACAGCACCTTTAAACAGGAGAGAGATATCTCTTTCCAATCAATCACTACCTTCTAAGATATCTCAAGATGACTTTTGCTTATGCTTAAAAAAAGGTAATTATTGCAGAAGTGGCAGAACAAGCAAAACTGAAGAAGTTTTAGAGAGTAGCAGACACAAGTCAGGGCAGGAAAGCAGCTAGAATGAAAACACGAAAGTGGTACCATCGTTTTCATGTTCAGTACTGTTGTGACAATTCTTCCTACCAGGGAATCCATCATTCTGATTATGTTTTAGAAGGGAGCCTTCTCCCTTCTCTTTTAGCTTTCCATTGGCAGGCTGAAAAACTTTTCACCTCCAGTTCTGCAAGTACTCTGTGGCTGAGCTGTCTTACATGTATCACGTCTGTCAAAAATCAGTGAGCGTCAATGTAACAGGAAATAAAAGGGACACCAATACCTCTAAGAACCAATCTCTGCCACCAGAGGTTGGGGTTGGAGTCATTTCCCCCTCCCCTCCATACATACTTCATGCAGATGGCATTCATTTATCATACAAACACATCTGGCCATGTCAAAGGAGAACATAAACAACTACAGTTAGAGAAAAGAAACCGCAAATGCTTTTCAATTTTATTCTTACTGGGAAGGTAGTGGCATCCTGACATGTCACATCATCCAATGAAAACTGACAGGGACTTTATCAAGGCTCCTAGCTCACCTAGCATTTATGGTACTAAGTCTTGCAGTAATCTTGGCTTGGCTGTAGTGCTTTGTTCAGCCTGCAGACATGGCATTCCCAATTCCAGATAGTTTTGCTGGGTCATGACCAAAGTAATCAGCACTAACAGAAAGGGAAAGTAATCAGATGTGAAACACAAAGACCATATGATGAGCAATGTGTCAGGCTGGTACTGCACAATATTTGTACAGACCTGTCAGAAACAGGTATTACAAATGGAGCTGGAAAATGGTAATAGTTAAAAACATGATCAAGTGCTTTCGATGGATTTCCCAGAAAAGTGTTCAGAAATAAATGTTACAGCTTCAAAAAAACAAAACAAAACAAAAAACGAAAGTAAAATGCACCTAGTGATCTTTAAATCAACTTTTCTATTGGATAAATATATTTGAAATAGTTGTACAGTTCACAGTGGCATAAAGTTCTGATTGCTTGAGTGCTTGAAAATATCTCATCAGTAAAAAAATACCAGAGCTGGGGGAGGAAAACCCTCTCTCTGAATTCTGTACATGGGCAAATGCACAGGTTTTGGCAGGCATCAGGTCATTGGATCCATGGGAAACCAGCAGCATCGCAGGACTGCAGATCACAAGTCAGGGGATGGAGGATAAGAAGAATAGTAAGGCCCATTTTCCTACAATGAAAACAGAATGAGCAGTTCAACAAAAGTGTTCTTCAGTACACCTTGGTGCAGTGGATGATGACACAGAGGCAGAAATAAATGGGTACTCCTGGCTTCATCTTCCACGAGTACAGTGACTGCCACAATTCACCCAGGAGAGGACTGTGCTGGTAATCAGGCAAAAATAGGCCTTGGTTTTGCCTCTGTTTTAAGAAAAAAGTGCAGGTTAAAATTTTGCCATTAAGCCAAAGCTGTGATGCAAGGAAACCACAAATGCTAGCACAGCCAGTCATTCAAGACAAAGTTGCTTACGCAGACACACAGCTCTGGCTATTACTTCGTAGTTATAGCACATCCTCTTTGGAATGATTTGGCCAATGCAAGCCACATTCATTCCACCATTTGGTGAGAGACTTGGGATGGAGAAAGGAAGAGGAGGAGGGACCAAAACAAAGACAAGGCACCCTTCTACAGTTCCATTTTTCCCAACTGCTTCCCTCCAACCGCTGCCCCCTCCCCTTTCCTGCGTGGGACGGGTAGGATAACACACAGTATTTCTTTTTGCAGTCAGTGTAAGTTATATAGCAGGTTATATAACATGAATTTTATCTTGTCCACAGACTCTTAGTGTGTTATGTTACAGTTCTTGGCTGAAGAAAGGTAGTCTGCCTTTTATGCACATAGGAGACTGCTCTATTGGGAAAGGAATCTGCTTCTTAGCCAAGCTCTTTACTTGGACTGATGCAGGAAAAAAAAAATTAAAAAAAATTAATCATTACTCACAGCAGAACAACTAGACTCTCCAGGAACCCTCCCTTCCTTCTCCCCATTCTTAAGATGTGGAAGTCAGCCCCTTTAAAGCTCTTGCAGAGCAGAATGGGAGAAGCACAAGAGCTACACTTAGGTGCAAAGACTCATGCTTGCCACATGCAATCACTTACCCTGGCATCATACTCAAGGACAAAAGGGGGGAGATCAATCTGCTCTGGGGGTATGGCTGTGAATAACTGCTGAAGGCTTTCCACATAGTGGATTTTGTCCTTTAGCCCTGAGACTGTAAAGGTTGTGAAAAACCATGCTGAGACCTGAAAATAAACACCAACAAAAACAAATTAAGATGGTGCTGTTTCAAAACCTTCAAGTTCAATGTAATACTCCATAGTTAAACAGGCTTGAGTTAAACTTGAAGCACTAATACCATGGCAATAACACAAGGTCAGGAAGTATACACCGCTGACTGCTAGCAAGCCCTGTCTTGAGAGCTTTCCGGCTAGTGTTTTCTGACTCTACACTCACTCCTCCCCAGCTCCCAGTTTAAGGTCCCTTTCTACTGTATGAGAGTGACAGCTATTCTGCTCTTTGTCTTCAAAAAGCCATCAGTATAGTGGCACATTCTCACTTCCTGTTCAGCCAGCTCAGAATATGAGCTATTTGACTCTATATCTGACAGAAGCATTTTCAACACTTTGCCTTCAAGTTTTCACAGAAAAGGCAATCTGAGGGAGAGAGAGACTTTCAGCTGTTCAAGGGTCCTACTAAAATCTTCTCTCTGCTTTGGGTTGGCTGAGTGAGTGTGTCCTTCTGTTTCACCACATTTCTTATCAAAGCCTTATCAACTTATTCTACAAGATTTTACTTTAAGTATTCACACCTCTGTCTCTTTGGATGTAAACAGGATAAGGAATTTTTGACTTGCAAAGTCCAGTAAGTCACCATTGCTACTTCTACAAGTTATTATACATTCCTGTTTAGATTGACTGCACAAGCTTTTACTTTTGAACCCACCTTCTTCAAAATTAAGCACTATATTACTTTTTGTTTGTTTCTTATCTAGTCTTTCCCTGGCAGACTGAAGGGAAAGAAAAAACCCACCTATTCTACAGGTCACAAATGCTCATATTAGGGACCACTCACATGGTCCTGGGCAACCAGCTCTTGCTGACCCTGCTTGAGCAGGGGGGATGGACCAGATAACCTCCAGAGGTCCCTTCCAACCTCGACCATTCTGTGATTCTGTTTGATAGTTGTACTTTGACTGCAGTAAGTTAACAGAAAAGAAGCAACGCCACAAGAAAAGCCTTGAGGGAAGTGGGAGTTTCAATAAAGTAAAACATTAGGTCAATAAAAATGATCTACCTGAATACAACATTTAAAGAAAAAGCCGATGTCTAAAAACTGTCCTGGAATAACTATGCTGCCTCCTCAAAACAGTGTATTTTCATGAGAAAACAACAACAAAAAAGAAAAAAAGGAGATAAAGAACAGGACAGAATGTTTAAAATAGGTTCATTATTTTAAGGGCAGAATTAGAGATTTATGTTAGCAGAAAACAGGCAGGCAGATTATTACCGGCATCCATTATTTATCGTATTTTTCTAACAATACCTCTTATGAGTGACACTGGATGACAGTTTAATGAGTGAAAAATACCCCCTCAATCCTGTACCAAAGTAGCATGCATTCCAAGGTGTATTATGAATAACAATGATTAAACATAATTGCTAAGGATGTTTAATGTATAAAAGCCTAATAGGGAATATTTTTGCAGCCATCACGAAAACTGGTATCAAGAAAAGTGACTCTGCCCCCCCCCCCCCCCCAGTATACAAGCCATTGCAGTGTGACACATTTTACCCAGTGACACAGAAAAAGGGAGGGTGGCAGAAATGTTTCTAGAGAATTTTTCTATTATCTCCATTCTCAGTAATCACAACTTATAGAAACAGTAATATGAGAGCAGCCATTTCCTTATCGGTAGGAGGACATAGAACTTTAAACTAAACCAAATCCCTGTTAATGCACTGAAAGCAGAATAAGTTATACCAGAGCAGTCAAAAAAAGCTAGAAGTCTAGACATCTGCTGAAGTTTTCTTTCATTTTTCTTGTCCTGCAGTTCTGAATCTGAATAAAAGGCTATCAAAGTCACTCTGCCAAGCTAGAAAACCACAGGGTTAAAGTATCAGATGTCTTTCCCTAAAAAAAAAACCAGCACAACACAGAAAAAGCCTGTCACCAATCTCTTAATTGGGTCATACCCCAAGGATAACATTTCCCAGATCTTAGTAGGTTTATTACAATTGAAAGGATCTTGTGTAGAAAAAGCTTAAGTGATGTGCAACAACCTTTATATTGGCATCTGATCTCCAGAAACTGCTTTTGTGACTGTTAAAGAAAACAAGACAAAAATTTTTCATGATAAATTCAAAGATTATGATTATGAATATCTAATTTGAGTATTCGGGTATGTTTCAGTTTTGAAACATTTGTGATTCACAGCCAAGTTACTAAATCTATGAAAACAATTTCTCTGGGTGAGGTTTTCAGATCCAGCCACTGATGCTTCAACTCAGAACACAAGCTCTAAAAAGCTTTGTTTGGAGAGCTCTCAGGACAGGAAGCCAAGAGGATTCACACAAAAATGCCCCAAAGAGCCTTTATTTATATATCAGCAGCTATAGCAGTAACAAGCAGATGTACATTTACATAAGAGTATGAAGGAACTTATGACAGCACTTCAAGGGTATCTTAATGTAAGGCCTGGCGGTGAAGTGTTCACACAGCAAGAGTTGCTGCCAGCCTAAAAAACTGCTGTTGCCTATGCTGCGATTTCATCACAAGAACGGTTACATTTCAGCAGCACAAAAGCATCAAGTTCTTCACAGGTCACAAGAATGCTCACATCAAAGCATGAATAAAGACAGGATCAGGGTACAAAAATGGATTGTGCAGTGACACACCCTGCTTCAGTTACTCTGTGTTTTAGGATAACTACTGAACCCTGCATACCAAAACCCATGTATTCTAGACAGGCAATTACCCTCAAAATATACATAATTTAAACCAGTTTCATATCTAGAAACTAAACAAAAGAATCATGGTTGGCACCATAAACTACATTGAGAACTATGCTTGTCTTCCAGGGGCACGAGTTTCCAAGAGACATGATGAAAAGCCTCTGGATCCCTTTTAGCCCAGAAATAAGCAAAGCAACTCTAGGAGATGGCAGCCATCCACTGTGCCAGGATTCAATACTGCTGTAAAATGGACAAGTTATATCACAGATTTAAGAATGGGATATATGTACAAGGGTGATGTGTTTCAGAAGCTGCATGAATGCACAAGCCTTCCTCCTGCATTTGAGACGTGGTGTATTTTCCACTACTTCTAGGGAAGGAAGTCAATGCTCCAAATAAGAAGATGAATGTGCCAAAACATTTTTTAAGATATTTGAGGCTTCTGAGCTAGCAATCTTCCATGGGGACAACAGCCCTGAAATAGCCAAAAAAGGAGGGGAGAGAAAAATCATTTGTTCTTAGCAGCCACCTTCTCCACCACGACTTTCTGCTGCATATTGCCCATAATGTTTCGTAACCCGATAGTCTCTGCAACAGCCAGCTAGGAAAAAGGCTTGGCAGAAAGACATGGACACACATCCTCTTTTGCCTCCAGTTGTGCTGCTAGAACAGGATACAAACCAATTCTATTTCCAGCAAGAGAACTCTACATCTCTCACCCTCCCTGCTTCCTACCAACTATCTGCTTGCCCCACAGATCTGTCGAGTCCCACCGCATTTCCCAAAGGGAGAGAGAACATGGCAATAGACTGGTGAACACAAGTTCTCATCCTCCAACAAAAAAACCACTTCTCAACTGAATAGAAATGTATGGGAAGACAGGATGGGGATAAAGTGCTGCTGAGAATCTAAAACACTAGTACTTCTAGCTTCCACTTTTCCACTCAACTTTGTGACCTTAGTAATGTTCTACGCCAGCTCCTACATTTTCAGGAGCAGAGCTGGAAGCTCTAATTCTAGCACTCAGACCTCAGATCTGTACCCTGTTGGAATAATTAATATCCTCACAGAAACTGGAAGGTATGCTGTTGGGAAGCCTCAGTCTCATGTACATAAAAACAAGGAAGCTGTAAGTCTCATGGTGTCCCAGCTGTGCACATACAAAGAAAGGACTCTTTGGATACTTAGCAGTCAAAGAAATTCTTGCTGAATGTGTGCAAACAGATGTTTTTTCCAGGCATATAATTTCCTCAAATTTGATCAATGTCAGGAAAGAGCAGAATAAACACAGAGGTTAATCTGATGTGAACATGGAGGATCACATTTCTAACTGTTTTAATAGGACAAACAAAAAATTTAGGAAGGCCTGCTGCCTACAGTTCATCTGAAGTATTCCTACTGCTGCAATATAAGTAGTGCGTATGAAGTACAGAAGGGAGTGAGCTCCCTCTTCTGTTGCCCCACACAGATCATAGCCAAGGATAGTATCTTGCTGCTTGACAAGTTCAGTTTTTCATCTCCTGAAGGCTTAACAGGATTTTTCTGCACTCTGTCACAAAGGCATTCTTCCCATCTTTTTTTGCTACTCTACACTCTATAATTCTGACTAATCTCATTGCTGCTCGACACACTGTCCTCTGCCCTTACCAGGGCAGCTCTTAAGTGATATGCAGCACACATGCAATACCTCTTGTGGGGAAAGAAAACGTGAAACATCCAGGAAACGAGCTTCACAAAAAAGAATTCCAGTTTTTGGTCATGGGTCATCATCCTGCCAACCAGACAGCAGGAAAAAGGACAAAATATTTCTCTTTGAAAGAAACAATATCCAAAGCTTCCACCTCTCTCAAGAGCACATGCAAAGCAAGGCACAGACAGCTGCACTACACTGGGGTTCAGCTTATCACTAAGGTTGGAAGGCTACAGCTAGATCGAAGATGGGGATGAACTTCAAGTTCTGAAATCCAGAAGATATGGCCTAATTTTGGAAGTCTTCTATATACCTCCATGTTCCTCATACTACAGTCTTACATGCTACTCTGCCAACACCCAAAATACACTTTTCTTTTGTACTATTTACCTCACCTTTGAACGAAATGTTGGGTGGACAAAATACAGTGCTTTTAAGTTCCTCTTGTACCTGGTTCAGAGAAAGAAAAAAATTCTTTAAAAGTGACTTCTAATTAAGCTCACCTACACAACCCAACTGTCAAAACATAGATCATTTTGCTTAAGTGTCTCTGATGTAATTTTACAAAGTTAGATCTAATATAAGGGCAGATACCATAAAAGTAAATGTAAGGGGAAAAAAACCACAAAACCAAAACCCAAAATGATTATTCTTCAGGTAAAGACATCATAGCCTGCAGTCTTTTATGCGGACAGTTAAAGTTATGAACAGATTATGACTGCCAGTACTACCCAAGCCTCTTCCCTCACAACTAGCAACATATTTTTAACAAAGCTGGGCTCCAGAAGCTCCACCAGTGGGTAGAGACAGACAATACACTCAGTATGCCTCTAACAGCTCCAGAAGGGAGACTGCAGAAGACAGAACTTCCTGGTTTAATAAATGGTTTTGATAGGAAAGAAAACATGTCTTCCTTCCTCTTGCCTTTGTTATTTATTTAGGTCTTTGTCCCAGCAAAACTCTGTCACAAATAAATGGGAAACCAGATACAGGGAATGACAAACATTTGCACAGCACAGAGGAAGACCAGAAGGGTCTTTTCCTATTGACACTCACTTGGCATCAACAACATCATACAGTTTCTTCAGGAAATTAGAGTCTAGTTGATTGTAATCATTTGTGAGTGTATGGAAGTACACCAGGACATATTCCTTCACTGCAATATGATCCATGACATGGATGAAATACAGAAGAGCCTGAGACAGAAAGAAATGAGATTTCTATTTGCAAAGAACTCTTTCACAGTTGCACTACATCTTAACATGCTTCCTTCAATTCATTCGCAAATCAAGAATCACGAGGCTGGGTGGCATTCTGTTTCAGCTACAAAAGCAAGGTGAACATTCCAAGTCTTCAACTTGACTGTAATAACTTAGATGTCTTTTTTGTCTAGCTGACCTCACACATTGAGATAAATTCTTGCCGTTTCCATGAAAAACTAATTTGACTTGTTATATTCCACTCTTCATGTCTTGGCAGTTATAGAAGCAGGGTAAGTCTCTTTCTTCTTAAGAAAAAGGAGTCCATGTTAAGCCTGTTTTAATAAAATGGTCCAGTTCCTCCCTGAAAAAAGCCACCCCAACACACACAAAGCTTTATAAGGGAATACATTTTAATCTGTCTATAAAAATAGTTTCTATTTAATTTAAGTCTTCTACAGATAAAGTTTCTAGTATTAACACTGAATTACCCTTATAAGCAGACTCTTACATCCTGAACATTCATATTCAACCTACACAACTCTAGTTTTACAAAGCCTTACCTTTTCCATGTCTATCAATGTTACGGGGATATTCCTTCCAACCACCACCATCACTGTGCGGCCACAGTTATCTACACCTACAAAAGAAAGAAAAACATGTCTCTCAACTTCTCTCAGTCATGCCAGCTTTTGGAGTTGCTTCTTTTCAAACCAGGGAGAACCAGCCACAGCTAAGAATTTTTGCAACACATCTTAACAGAGGAAATACGCTTAGAGTAACTGTTCTCACTATACCAGTAGCTATTCTGATCCAAAAAAGGGTGCATCACATTTGAGAAACTTAAGTCTTAAGGACTGCAATTTTAGGTTGCCTGTCTACTCCACATTTACCTAAATCCCAAGTAATAACATGGTTTTTATTTAAAAAAAGAACAACCTTCACTTGCATTTCTACCACCAAAGCGAACTTCTTCCTAGAAATCAAGCTCTAAAATCTAGTGCAGATTCCCAAAGAGTGCATTACAGACCTCCTGCAGCCCACAGAGCCTTGTCTAAGGCAAACGAAAGAATTTAAAATCGCAGCTACTGAGCAGAAAGTATCACACAGCCTTGGTATTTGCACAAAGATCAAGGAAAGCATCTGGATTTTCAGGAGGCCAAAGATAACAGCCAAAGTGCTGGACAGACTTTCTCTGCAGAAACACAGCTATACTTTTGAGAGCGTGACTACTTGCTTGTTTCTTCCCATCATGGTGCAAAGCAGCAATAAGCCACTGGGACTATGGCAAGTTTTTATGTCTGAGTATGATGCTACCTAACGAGTAAAACTGAACTGAAGATTACAGGTTCTCCATCTCTGCCTCTCAGGCGGCAAGGACCTCGCAGCTATTATCTTCCACTAAACTCTCCATTGGGTTATCAAATCTCTCCCTAATCTCCCCATCTACTGAACTCAAGGTTACAAGATGGGCTGCCCATGGTACACAGCCATTAGTACTAGGAGACACATACAGAGGAGAGCAACACAAACCTAACCTGAGGGAAATAAAGCTAGCCATTTTGTTCAGGAAAGCTGTTTTAAAAGTTGCTTTGGTAACTGCTTATTCTCTACACTCATCATCTGAAAGCGACATTCATTTTTTTGTAACAGAAGGGTGGAGATAGTTCTTTTGGTCTGAATTCTCTCATACAGAGCACCTCATGCATTGGCTTAATCTAACAGTACTGATTTACATCTAAAGCTACAGATAATTCAGGATGTGCATGTATCCTCAGATTGTTAAAGCAGAGCAGTTTGGGAGTTTACCACACAGTCTTTCAAAGCCAATCAAAAGAGGATTCCTGCTTTACTGCAGAGATATTGTCTAGTTCTTGGCCAGGCTTCTAGCTTAATAACATGACTAATTTTACATGCAAGTCCAAAGAAAAAATACTTTTATTTTGTATTTTTACTTTAAGACAATATACATCAGTGATTGGTACCCTGAACTTACCTGTCTGGTACAAGGCTTTAAGAGAAGCAATATCAGAGAGGTCTTCAGCTCTTGCCTGACACAGCCAGCGATTGTAACTAGAAAGTTAAAAACATCTGGTCAGATCTAACCCCCCTTTGGATTGGTACTAGGAGCCTCAAGAGGTATATGGCAAGGGAAGGACAAAACAAGCTGTTTCTGACTGAGTCCTCTCTCTAATGCTGTGGTTTTCTGACCTATGGAGCAACTATCAAGTTGTTAAAGAAAGAATTGTTGAGAGAAAAAAAAAAAACAAACCCCAAAACATTTGAGTGTCTTAGTTACATACTCAGTGATTTTCACTGGGGCAATGAATACACACCAACTAGTAACTATAGTAGCATTGCATTTGGGCTGACGAGATCTGAGTTTTTTCCATTTAAATACCTCAGCATCAGTGTTTAAAAATAGGGGGAAAAAGACAATTTCTTTAAAAAGTCTAGAACTCGAACACAACTACGCAGTAACCAGTGTCACATATGGATTCCTCCCCGCCATCTTTGAATGGTGAACAACTTAGTGCCTCATCTGACAAGCCAAGCCAAGCATCATGCCTCAAGAGGACTCCAGCATGGAACTGGCTTCTAAGAAAGCAATCATGCACATTAGGGTTAGCAGGGGAAAGAAAAAAAAGAAAAAAAAAAAAGAGGAGAAAAGCCTCAGCATTCATTTATTTATCTTTCTGTTTTGAAAAACGGAAGAAAAACATTTTGCTACCTGCCCAGAGCCTCATGAGCAAGTGGGCAGTATTGAAAGGAGGTGACCCCACTACAGAACGTGGTGACAAAACAGTGACATCTGGTGGCAAAGAGATAAGGCAGCTGGTCGGATGCACTGGCCATGCTAGCAGGTTCATCACTAGCTTCCTTTTTCCTCCTACTGCCCCTTCCCTTCTCCCTTCAGACCAAAAAGGCTACCACAGCAATCCAGGGTGACATCAGGCTTTATCTGTATTTCCTTGCCAGATGATTAGGCTTTACAGATAACAAGATCATCATAACGGTTGGTCCTCTGAACAGCTAACTGAACACAAAACATTCACACGGACAAGGAAATTCTCACTTCCTCTGATGCTGTTTTTGCAGTGCTGCCTCTGACAACTGTCCCTGAAGGATGAGGCGTCTCTGTTTATCAACGTCTCCCTCCATGCGGGCAAAAGCATGGGAACCAATGAAAGACAAATCTGCCTCCAGACCCTCTTCATCTGAAGCATCTGCAGTAGAAACAAAGGTAATGTAAAATGTTCAAGCTGCGTACAAGACAGCAATGCTGCTGATGGATTGCTATGTATCTCAGTGAGCCAAACCAGTCATCATGCTACAAGCTAACACAAAAAACCTGTAACATGCCATGATGTGGCTCTGATATCTCACCAGTACCACTGACAGATTACAGCATGTGACTGATAACTACGGACTCCCTTAAAATGTTGGCTTGCCTGGAAACTAACTGGGCAAGTCCTAGTCATCAGCTTGTAACAAAGGGATAATGGTTAACTCTCTCAGAAAAACAAGGCCTGAGAGAGTGACTTGAGCTTTACAGCTGTCCTACTTGCCACAGGGGGAAAAATAAGTAGGCAGAGGGACAGATGCTGCAGTTTTATTCAGTTTAGATATACTGTAAAAAAGGCTCACTTTTTGTATCATTGACACTGCTTGAACAGATGCTGTAGAGCTGGCAGTAAACTGAGTTTACATATTTTTATAGTATTGTTTACAGCATGACTGTGTGATGAAATAAAAGAGCACAGGCTCGCTTGATGGTGACAATACCAGAATGCTCCACTGAACTTGATGTCATCAAGGAATATTGCTAAAGCTTCTAGCACTACCTCTCTGGGCAATCTGGATGGGAACAGAGTTTCCCCATTTTAGTGTGACATGCTATAGTAGCAATGGGACAAAAGTGCAGGATTCCGCTATATCCATTTGCTCCTACATATGAAAAAGCAGTAATTTCACAAATTATTAGCTAGTGGTTGAATGCCTCACACTGATCAGCCACAGCTGCAAATACCACTCTAACCAGCAGTTTGGACAGAGGGGGAAAAAACCCCAAAGACTGGGGTCTGATCAGTAGAAGTAGGTACATCATGTATCAAACTGTGGACAGGAAAATTAAGTTGTCTGTATCCTCACTGCATATTCAGCCTTATCCCAACTGGCCATGCAAAAGTAAAAAACCTTTGAAACCCATTCCAAGTTACCTGCTTTTGATAGTTTAAGGCTTTGCCTGAAGAAGTGTAAAACTTTCACAGCACTGCTTAATATGCCCATCTATATAATAAATTGTTTTGCCATATGTATCTCACCTCTTCAACCCTGACATCTAGGCAACCTCTTTATGAACAAACTTCTTCACTGAGCTTTGACAGCCATTTCCCAAACACTGATCTCTGGGTTGATCTAGTTCTTCTATCTTTTGGGGAGTTTCTGCTAGTTTTCATTGAGCATCTACTAGTTTGATGCACATGCTGTATCAACAGAATCTTATCATTTGAGACAACATTTGCTAATATACAAGATAAAAAGGCATTATTGTTAACGGTCTAAGTTAGGGGCTGCACAAGATTCTGCAAAAAACCTGCAAAGGTCCTAAACACTTTGGGAGAAAACTTGCAAACGGAATGAACTACCCCACCTCTCACCCCAAGAAAGAAAAAGACAGAACAACAGCTCTACCACATCCTCTAACCACCTCACTTTACACAACGAGGCAGAAAGCAGAAGTTACTGTTGTGGAACACATGAAGCCAATGAGACAGCTTGACAACTGTAGTCATTATAGCCTGCCTCAGGTGAGGCAGGGTAGGAAAACATCTCTCTGCTTCCCACGTGCCTTTTCTGTTTTTCCATCGACTTTCACACAGAGATACTTATTCCAAAGTTCAGTTAAGAACTCACCATCCGGAACACCTGGCTTTTCAGTAATCCTGATCTGCCGCTCTGGTACTACAGGCTCCCCTTCTGCATTGCCAATATCTGCAGGGAGGTAAGGCAAGGATTGTATCTCTTCTTCCAACGATCTTGGAAAATACAGAGGCAGCAACTTCTGGTAAGTGGCCTACGAATAAGAAAAATGCGTGAAGGGTCTATCACGCATCCTTGTGCTTCAGTTAAGTAACACCTGCCCTTGTAGTAGGGACCTCCTCAGTGGTTTGGAGGCAAAGTACCGCTTCCCTCAATGGCTTCTTTTGGGCTGTTACCCAGAAATAAAGGCAGATAACCTTGATAAAGGTTAACTATTTTTTTTTGCCACACTGGCAAATGCCCTTGAGATGATCCCTGCTTTAACCTGCATAAAATCAGGTAGATTGCAGATACTTTAACTTTAGAATGAAGTTACAATATGCATGGATGACAGGCTTCAGCAAAGGCTGCTTATATTAAAATGCACCACTACACAGATCACCCTTAGTGATCTGACTGGGAAAAAAGAAAAAGTAACAACCAACCAAGACAAACCCTCCCCACATGGGGGAAAATAGTGAAAATCTCTACTGAACATTGCAATACTTCACGTTTTCTCTCCAACTGATCAGCAGTTTTAGAACACCCAACAAGTTAGTTATTTTCCGCATCCAGATGCCACAGAACCAAAACACAGTGTGGGTGTTCTGCCCAGGAACTGCCATTAGCAAGTCTGATATACAAGACAAATCAATATTCAAACTGCTAGCATCTGTCTGAACACATATCATTAAATGTCAAGCTTGTCATTTCAACGAGCCAGTAAGCAATGTTTAAGATGTTTGTAGGTGATCTGTGGGCATGCTAAACTGGCCCTTTTAAAGCACAAGGGAAGCAGCATTGTGTAAAGGAGGAAATCTTGTATGAGGAATTTCCTTTCTGGCTGGCAGATACCATCCAGCACAACTGCATGCTAAAACCTCTAGTACTGGTTCCTTTCCATGGTTCAGTAACATGGAAGCCAGAAGTGGGAAGATTCTGAACATGTCCATAGTGACTGCTAAGAGCATAAACAGTACTGGAAAAGATGCTATGCTAGCAGGAGACAGAATGATGCTGTGGGACCAAAAGCCTATGTGATTTGAAGGGGAAATCCAAATCCAGCTTGGCAATGCAGGAGTTAATACTGCTGCAGAGAAGATCAAACATGCCCATCAATTTTGGTGGAATGAACGTCAAGGTGATACCTCTTCAAGCTCAGAGACTGCAAACACCACCTTCTCCAGAGTCTCTCCATGAATCTCCAGGAACCTTCTAACTGTGCCTGCAAGGAAGAAGATAAAATGTAGTTAGCAAAACAGGAGGAGAAACTTACACACATGACTACAAGTGAGGAAGTCAGAGTGCAGAATGGAGACACATCTCTCTCCTCATACAAAACGGCTCCACAGGCTGTATGCAACTGCGGATTAAGTGGTAGCTGAACACACCAAATGGGTTGTTGGCCATATTGGAAGTTCCATCTCCACTCTCTCCTGCTGCTCACTTTAGAGATGGATACAAAAGAAAAAGTCTCTCTCTGATTTTAGCTTACTAGGTATTCCTCAGTCTGTGGAATGTAATTCTACAGCCCTGCAAAATCAAGCCAAATCTTTCCTTTAGAGAGTCCTGTGCAAATTGTCAAAACCAGACATTCCTAGAACAAGTCATCGTGCCCTAAGTTATCAGGAAAGCAAGATAAGCCAGCTACAGCAGAAGCTGGTACTAGACAGAGTCAGCCACACAAAACCTCTGCGGTCAGCCACGTGAAAGAGGCATATAAAAATTATATTTGTAAATCATGAGAGAATTTATTTCCTCTATTACATTTTTTGGACTCCCCCAAAGCTTTAGCATAATCCAGGGACACAGTCAAGTTCCTAAGCATTTGCAGCTGAGGGGAAAAAAAATATTTTGTAACCAAGCTCCCAGTCAGACATATCCTTGTAGAGATGAGGTCCTTGAGCTGCAATAATCTTGACACAGGTCAGGATTTTCAAGTGCTTTCCTGTCAGACTGCCAAGAGAGAAAGTGTCCAAACAAATAGGTTGGTCTAACAGTATTTTTCAAGAGGCATATAGCCCTACAGAGACGACAGAAGACAGCAATAAAGGAAAGTAGTCTACTCTACAGAGAATACATTAGTGTGAGTTCTTCAAGAAACAGCAGAGGAAAAAAAAAACAAAGAGCTATTTTCAAATACTTCCTGTACAGAAATTCACGTGTAATTTGGTTGACCTGCACCACTACTTTGTGGGACAAATGCAGTTGTGCGGTTCCACAGTAAACAGTTTTCTGAACCTATGTGAGCAGATGTTTTCAGATGTCTCACTCAACAGCCAGACAGCAGAGAAAACAACGGACTAATCTGTTTCTCCAGTGTCAGCACCTCTGCTAAACAGAGGGTAAGAAAGATTTCTCCAGTCAGCCTGCACAGCAAGATGAAAACCCACTCCTTCCGTCTGCAACAACTTTCCTATTGAGCAGGACTACCACGCAGGAAGGTCCAGGGACTGGGTGGTGGTGGTGGAAAGCAGACAGGAGCAGGCCAACAGAAATGAGAAAGTCTAAAAAATAGGGAAAAGTAAGAAGGAGGCAAGTATATAATACTCTTCTCTGACGACTTTTCTATTCTTTAAGTATTTTCAGCCTAGGAAATTTTCTGATTTGTTTTTAGTAGCCTTCATTTTTTTCTTTAATGTAGTTTCCTCTTGAACCCAAACAAGTTTGAAAACTTTTAACATCTACAATGCTTTTTGGTAAGAAGTTCCATAAAACAAATAGTGTAAGCATAAGAACCATTTCCCCTTGTTTGTTCTGAACCTGATTCATACTAGCATTGTTTGAAGGTTCTTATTTTGGGAGACAGTGGACAGCTGATTCCTATTCACCATTTCCATGCCACTCATGAGTTCATAGACACCTATCACACTTCCTTCAAGTTCAGCATATTCCAGTCTGAAAAAGACTTTAGCTTACTTAGCTATTTCTTGCCTTTCCTTATTCTTGTTGACCTCCAACTTCCAGTTCTACTGCATTTTTTTTTTTTTGAATGTGCAGCTTTAAAGGGTGGACAAAAAACAGATTTAGAGTACAACATTCTTAATTTTGTTGTGTCTTACTCAGCTGCTTGTTTTGAACTCCAGTGAGCTGTTGTTTCCATGGAACTACTATAATCTCAAGATTTTGCTACCTAGGATTAGCCCACCATTTTGCATGTGAAAGCAGAAGCACATAGGGGTGGGTCATCAGGGGAAGAATATCACTTTACATTTGGATATGCTGATGACACCAAAATGGCAGATGAAATTCACTCTGTTGCTTGAGGGTCTGTCTACAGCTATTCAACAGTAAGGCCTCATCTTTGCTATTCTGAATAATTTTCTATTACCAGCAAACTCTCTCACCTCACTGTTCAGCATCTTTTCCAGGTTATTAATTAATATATTGAAGACTGCAAGTTCCAGCACAGATTCCCATGGATCTTTACTGACGACCTCTCAACAGAGAAAGCACTGTTTGTTTTTATACTCCATTTTCTGATCAACCACAGAAGGCCTTGCCTTTTTACAGCCTCTAACAAACTACAGCCCCCTAAAAAAAGGTTTCCCATATCAACAGCAGTCTGTCAGAGGCAAGCAATCTGCTGAATACTGCCATCCAGTTTATGTCACTTTCCAACAAACTTACGCAATGCTATGTGGGTTGCATCCTCCAAGGGGTAGCATCTTTTCAGAGAGTTAATGACACAAAATCCTACGGAGCACATTGCCTGTTCCCTGAAATCCAGAAAAAAAGAAACAAATGAATAGATGGTCAGAGGAGAACAAATGTCTGTCAGTACAGTAGATAACAGCAGTACTTTTTTTCCTGCCTCTATGCAGCAGAAACCCTCTTTCAGGTTTTTGCAGGATTCTTTCCTGGTAAGATGTATACATACCACAATTAAGCAGAGAAGGAGGGAACCATTAATGATTCCACACTGTTTCCTCTTGTGTTTGCTCTCAGATTTCTCCTCCTACCTCAGCTATGTTGTTCCTGCAGTTTCTCGTATTCTGAATGAAGAAGTTCTTCCCTCAAGCTCCCTGCAATCCTTTCCAAAATACTTTCCTTCCAGTACAGGATTCACAGTGAGGAGGAGGAGGGGAAAAGAAGGTGCTCTTTATTGCATTCTCCTGTTCCTCCACCTGACCTATCAGTTGTTTTTTTAGAGGTCTGGACACAGACCAAGGTGGCTTCCTCAATCCTAGGTACGATTAGACAATCATTGGCACAGAGAGATACATACTTTAAAATCAGTAAGATGCTTCCAGCAGGGAGCCACATTTTTAGAAGAGTAAAGCAGAGGTGTTGCCAACAGTCAGAGGAGTGTGAGCAAGCTCAGAGCTGGTAGACAAATTCACAAGCCTGAAAAGTTACTCTAGAGAACAGATTGACTGAAAGGCATTCAGAATTCAGTAAGCAGAATTATTAGAATTTTTAAATTGTATTTAACATGTTTCAATCCAGGCCTGACCTTGCTTGTTACTTCTGAGGCAGAACAAAACTGGCACATACTAGAAAGCTTAGCTGTAATCTTGAATATTAAACAGTTACTATTGCACTGTAATGCACCGTCCAGACTTGGAAGAATTGATCTTCCTAGCCCTAAGAAATTGTTAAGTATATTTTCGGACATTGCTCTTGTTCAGATTTTTTTTTTTTTTTGGTGACTGCTACCATTACAACAGCCATCACAGGAGAATAACAGAATACAGGAAAGAACACAGAAAAACAGAAAGAAAAAAACCTGTTAGCTAAGAGGAAGTAGAAAATGCCACAGATGAAAGAGAAAAAACTACAAACCCATCTGCAGCAACTATGGATTTAGAAATAACCTTGCACCCTGACTCAGAATTTTAGATGGCTGTCGTACCAAGGCAGAGAGGCCAAATATATGAACTGATAAAGCAGTCAGATCTGCCTGTGGGTATGTCCACATGGCTGCAGAGACACATGAAGTTGCTGCTTGAGCAAGCTCATTTAAAGCTTTTTGCAGCACAGAACCCAGTGCAATTATCAATGCTGCTTCTCCTCAGAGTAACTGAATGCTGCAGAGCTCTAGCTACACTGTTTCAGGACTTGAATCAGCTCAGATCTCTCTGCACATTTTATCTACACCGCAACACAGATAACAGGCATGAAGTATACCACGAAGCCGCTGATGTTCTCATGTCCTTAACCAAATTCACTATACATGAGAAGATATTCACAGCCATTTGGCCTCTGTGCAGACCCAAGTATCTAGAACAGATGTGCCATGGATGGCAAACCCTCATGTAAGTTGTTGTGTGCTTACTTTGCAAGCTGCAGGACATTGCGGTAACAGCTGTATAGAGAACTCTCGGCTGCGGTGCGATACCGGCTTTTGTATTTGGGTCCCACTGTGTGAATGATGAAACGTGCAGCCAAATTAAATCCTTTGGTGAGTTTAGCCTCGCCTGTCCTGCACCCTGAAAAAAAAAAACCAAAACCAAACCACAAGGATAAATGTCAATGTCATGATAAGAAAGCTAAAAGCATTCAAGTCCTTGACTTCCTCCAGAGTCAGACAACTCCACTTCATATATAGAAGTCAGTATTTTAGACATCAAATACTAAGGATGGAATTCTATCTTGTAACAGCTGCTTAGTATCACCTAGTCAGGTTGAGGATGCAAGAGGTGCGCTCACTCCTCTCAATTTTGAACCTGTGCATATAAGGACAAACCAGAAATTGCTAGATATGCTGTCTTAATCGCAGTGCTTACTAAGCTACATACAAAGCCAAAGGGAGAAATGATTTAACAACGCGCAGAGAACTGAGGCACAAGTATGCTATACAACCAGCAATAAAAAGTCCTTCTAAATTTAACAACTTGGTTTGGGGAGATTGCTTTTTGGATGAAAGGACTACAAGTCTCCTTAATCAAATCCACCAGTGTTGGCAAAGCTATAAAAATGAATAGATCAAGCACTTGTTTCATCTACACTCCAGCACAAGGTAGCTTGCTTTGTTTTGCAATTTTCCTCATGTCCGCAAGGCAGAAATAAGATTCTCATGGAGATCATACTTTCTTGACAGACTAGACTAGTCTTTAGGCAAGGAAGTTCAAGCAACATATTTGTTACATTCACAGCACCCTCCAGTTACATACTCTAGGATCATGTACTGCATGCCAGCATACTTTACATCTATACATCTTTTTGGTTTTGACTGCCCTTTGGTTATCCCCTGCAAGTTACTCAGACTTAATTCCTGCGATTTTTCGCAAGGGAAATCAGTTTGTCAGAACCTTCGATGACATCCGTAGACCCCTCTATTCCCTTCAGTTTGTCAATACATTAGTGATAGTGAAAAATCCAGGAACAGCTACTGTGTTTAAAGTCTGTTTTTAATTCGGCACCTGGAAGAAAAGTCTGCTAACTCTCCCCTTCTTCACCCAAGTCTAGTCCGTTCCAGTTCTGGATAGCTGAAGAAGTACTTCTAGTCTTTCTCTTTCCCTGCCCTCAAAGACAAGTATTTTCCACCTTCTTCCTTCTGCTTGTACAGCTGCAGTTCAGCTTTCTGATCTGGCTGAAAACTAATATTTTCACAGGATTAGCTTTCAACCTGATCTTATAGGTTGCTAGTGCCCACGAAAAGGAATGAGATGCGAACAAGTGGCTGTGACCACCCTTCTGGCAGCAGCACTGCAGGAGCTTGGCTTAAGTCAACCATGAAGCTGCCCACTGAATAGGAGCATTCACCTCTCCCACTCCACTCTGTTCCTCGTGGTGCTCAGGCAGGCTATCAGCCTGCATGAAAGCGTATTTTATGGCAAGAGACATTCCAGGTTACGAATCTCTCTTACTCAAAACTTTAAGCATGTCTTTTTAATGGCAAGAACACATTGCCTCTAAGCCAACATCTTGTAAACTTTTTAATCCAGTAAATCACATTGTTAGCTTCTATAGACCTCCACCTTATTTCTTCTGGGTTAATCAGAAGGAATATAACAGCATGCTAAAACTAAGCATACTCTTCTGAATTACTGCACATCTTCTAAGACACCGCATCTCAAGAGAGCCACTAAATAAGCACAATATGGAAAAAGCAGAAGCTAAAACTGAAACACTTAATATATCAGATATCAAGTTACTATTCTTCCTCTGTGGTCCATCCAAGTCACACAACTTGAAAAGAGCAAGCAAAGGCCAGTAGGAAAAACTGTCTTGTGAAAAAGAATTAAGCAAGTTTGACTGAGGCATAGTTGTGAATTCAGTAGGGAAACTAATAAATTCAGACCACCAGATGTAGCATCAGTAATCTCTAACTATACTTACATCACACTTAGTACTTGCCAATGCCTTCTGCCTGGAGATCTCTATAAAATTTCTAAAACTAAGATGAGCAGCAAGTATTATTCCTATTTTAAGATACAGGATGAGGTGAGCTAGTAGAGTGAGCTGCACAGGTCAAGGTCTGTGGCAAAACTGGGAACAAAGGCAAGACCTTATTTTTTTATCTGGTGAGATTTCAAACATTAGAACAGCTTGTCTCCGAGTTTAAAATGGAAAGTCTGAATCCTCCATATGATGTGTGCAGCAGAGAAAAAGTCTCACTGGAGCTGGAAGACTACTATGCATTGCTGTTACAGAAGGTCTTTATTAGACTGCAACAAGTATGTGTTGATAGGCCAGCATATATCAATAACACTTCATCTGCAAGCCTGGGCCCTTGGCTACAGTATTCCTGTGTGAATCAAAACTACACTCTGTTCCCAGGAATGCACAAGTTAACTGAGCCTTTAAAAAAGCACAGGCCTTTAAAAGGTCAGCACATCACATGCTTTAAGATCACGATTTTTCTTGGATTCTATGAAGTATGAATATATACCAAGCAGCAGGAATAAAGCAGGAGAGAACTAACTGAAAAACACAACTGCACCCATTTTACGGCTTTAGAGCAAAGACCATACATTTTCACTTCTTCCCAAGAACATTCTCCTATGAAAAAAAGTTCAAAGTTCAATGGGAAGGATTGCAAAAAGGAGGTAGAGCTGACAGAAGAATCATAAATTAATTTCTTAACTAAGCTCCCTTCCGCTAAAGTGACAAACACATTAAGGGTGCACGAGCGCCAAAGCTGTAACCCACTCTCTCTTTCCTCTCCCACACAACATGCCAGTATAGTGTCACAGAAGAACTGGTTTCTGAAAAGCTTGTCACAAGATTAAAATGAAATTATCACATATACAGAGTCATGAACCTGCAGAACGCATTACAGAGAGAAGACATCAGTGTCATCACAGGGGTAGAGAATGAAAAACTACATATCAACTCAGCATGGTAGAGGGGAATTTAAGCTAAGCCCAACTTTTACAAATAACTCCCTACAGAGCTGACAGATCTCAGATTTTAAGGATTCCTTGAAACGTTGTCCCTCTCTTTCCACCCCACTCTGCACACAAGAAACTCAAGTTTATTTTAGAAGAGTTCTGGCATACATAGCGGGGTCCTAACTATTCTACAACATCTGCTGTATTTTAACAGTTGTTCCCACCTGAAGGGCACACTGACTTTTCCCTCTCCTACAAAATGGTTACTCTTCCTCCTGTTTTACTTCCAGGTTACTCATAAAAAGCAAGCTGAATCAGCAAAACACGATTTTATAAAAACAGAGGCGGTCTATTCACTTGTAGTTTAAGCTATTGAGGGTTTGTATTAGAAACATTATGGCTCTTCTATCCGTTTTGTTACTGCACGATAAGGAGATAGAGCTGTTAGGCAAGAGAGTGAGCAGTCCTACTCAGGGATCAGCTGGGTCTCAAAATTCAGCTCAGTACCATAGTTACTAGAAACATGAATTCTTAACTGCAAACTATATCAGACTTCTGTATAACCTTTGATAACTATAAACTCTTCATTCCTCACACACAACATAAGGAAAGTCTTTATCTAACAAGGACTGGAAATAAAGTTGATCATTTGCAAATTTCATTATCAGCCATAAACCCTGCTAATAAAGAATCTAGGTGAAGAAAATCTCATCCATTTCCAGAACAGCTGTCCATCAGGGATGGTCTTGTGACTTTCTAATGAAACCTTTTGTTGTGCAGAAGATGCAATGAACTGAACAATTTAAGTGGTCAACTGAGACTTTACTTAGACATGCAGCGTTTTATCAATCTGTTATTGTCATAGTTTCCTGAAAGACTGTGTGTGTATATTAATATACACAAAGCGTATATTAGAACGCACTTAATTTCTGCAATGGTGAACTTCAGTTCCTGTCTTCCACAGTGTATACGCACTGAACAGGATAAGAGAAAAATCCAAAGGTGTACAAGACTGGCCCCTCCAGTAAAAGCTCTGATAAGCTAGCTACTCTAAGAGGCTTCAGAAAACAATGGGAATTCTCATATTGCAATGTAAGGGTTCACAACTTGAATACCTGCCACAGATTTTAACGATCTGTAACCTGAATGGCAAAAGAGAAGAGGCTAGTTTGGTGTCTGTTTCCTCTATTTATTTCACATTAACACCAGATGTTGAGGGGAAAAAAAAACAACCCACACTATGCCTTGATTTTAGTTTATGCCCAAATTCTAATGCTTTGTACTATGCAAGGACCGTAGATTTCAATAAGATAAAAACGTCTCCAGCCACTTACCTTTGAGCTTCTGGAGTTCATCTCTCAGGTCAGGCCCAGCATGCATGAATATACTTTCAGATACTGGATTCTTATCAGTGAGAGACTCATTACTGGTGTTTACTATGGCTGTGCAGTTCAATAACGCTACATCTCCTTTCCTGAGGAAACAAGGAAGCAGGTTATTGCAGGCTAAATGTACAATTAAGCAGGATATTCTCAAATAAGTGCTGACAAGCAAGGAAATGCCAAGTTAAAGGAAAAGCATTAACAGTACTCCAGTGCCCACATAGCGTAGCGTACCCTGACATGCTCACCATGCAGAATCATCCTTTGCCTCTAACTGATGAAAAAGATTGCATGCAACCCGTCATTTCCTCAAAAACTCCCAGCCTCAACGGTAACTTAGTGATGTAAAAAAGACAGTGTTGTAGTTGTACGTAGGGCAGTTTAACTAGCAGAACATGCGAAGCAGTGTGCTAAACTGATAGAGTGTAATGTGTTCCAAAACACCATGTATTCTCTCTTGGAGACAAGAGGACAGTCCTCGTGGTATATTAATTTCAAAACTTCAACAATTTTTTCAATGTACTTTTTTCAGTTTGCATACACGCTATTCAGGGCACCTTACTGCTACTGCTCCTTCTCAGACCACTGAGGATCTAGAGTGACACCGCAGCTAGACAAGTTTTCATTGCTTTTGTTCCGAAATTGTGAACCCGCAATTTGATCATGTTCATTCTGCTGTTCAAGGATCAGACATGCAGAAGATAAACAAAGCAGAGATGCATAAGAGACAATGGAGTAGCAGAACTCTGACCTGCTTTTTGTCACAGCAGCAGCCATTAGAGATTTTGGGATCAAAGAGCATAGGAAGGGAAATAAAGATTCCCACACACAGGGAGAGATTCAAGTAACAGTTGAAATTGCACACATTTATTACACCCGAGCCCAAGTCATAAAGAGATGTTTAACCTTATACTTCTCTCTCTCTTTAATTAATCAGGTTCAGGAAATCCATGAACAGTCCTATTTCCTTCATGTATTAACCAGAAAGACGTTCAGGCTGATCCCTGAATCTGTGTCCCTGAGAAATCCTTTTCTCTTCACATTGATTAACAAAGAGTTACTCATCTAGAGAGCAGGTTCAAGTATCTGAGTTACAGGAAAGAAAAACTGATGGAGTAAGTTCACCTCAGCACACTGTACTTTATCAATAGATTTTGGCAGAAAAACATGGAGACAGAACACACAATATGGGGGGGAGGGGAGGGGAAGCCCAAAGCAAGCCACTAGAACCACATGAAAGAAAGAAATACTGATCAAAACCAGAAAAGTGAAAGCAGAATAAAGCCAGCAAAGAAAGAAAAAACCTAGTAGACAGCAAGTATATTTTTTAAAAATTCAAAACAACTTTGATAAAAGTGCCCAATTAGGTTTTGATGTTAAGCGTACAGTATGACAGTAGAAAGTACAGCTTCAGTCGGCTGCATCAAGGAATGTCTATGAACATGCAAATTACAACCTATGGTGGAGCAAATCTCAGACTTGCAGATTTACAGTGAACAAAAAGATTACTTTCTTCCTAGACCTGTAATGTTTGATTCAAGAAAAGAGGGCTTGAAGGCTTTATTCTATAGCAGTGATTGTTATACGAGGCAATTGGATCCCGCAATAAATGGAGAAGAGGTGGCAAACACACCAGAGCCATATGCAACTTACCATAAGATTATTTTTGCATTGATGTCTTTCCTGTAGGGAAAAGGTGATCTAACATCATCTTGAGCTTTTTCAACAGGATTTTGGTGAGGGTCCAGCTGCTTAGCCTCATAGGCATCAGTCCAGCCTGGCAGACTGTCAACATCCACAAATTGGGAAGGAGCACCCAAGGGATCCATGGAATGGAAACAACAACTCCTTTCCTCTGCTAACTTGTCACACTCCAATTCTCACTGGAGTCTTCCAGGTGCTTTAAAGGAAGAAAATCAAACCAGGTCACCAGCTGTTCACCAAAAGGGATTCCTATAAAGCCAGACCTTTCACAAGAGCGCAGTGCAATTACAGGTACCAGAAAACAGAAAAACAGATTTCCAATTCAGTCGCTCCCTTTCTGTTTTATTATCTGTATGCAAAAAGGCAATGCAAATACTTGCAGGAAGACAAACCTTTTCCAATAGTGCAAGATGAAAACACCTTCTCTATTAAATTGGTCCAACTGGCTTGTGCATTTCAAAAATGCTGAAAACAAATTTGCAAGTGTAGAAAGGACCTTACTGTTTCTGAAAATTATTATTTCTTTATCTAAAAAAAAAAGCAAATTTGTAGCAGGGTATGTATAATCTATCCCTTCAGAGATTTTAGTCTAGCCCTGGGTCATACTTTAAAACAAAACCAAAAAACCCAAAAGAAAATACACAACCTCCCAAACCACCACAACCCCAGAAACCCTAAACACAAACAAGCCCTTACAAACAAAGCAATGAAAACATCCTCCCTCTCCCCAAATTGTACAACCCTTGCAGTTCAGTGCATTCCAAAGCACTGCAAATAAAACTTACAGTTGCTTAGTTCTTACAATCATGCACATAGGCACAAAACTCCTTCACCCAAATAGGTTTTGCAAGAAATGGAGCAAAGCTGTAAATTTGAATGCTGGCCCAACGAACTTGCAGGCTGAACTCTGCCATCTAACTTTTTTCTTGTTTTGTTTTAAAAGGCTGAGATGACGCTCATTGCTAGATTAAGACTCAAACTCGCCGAAACATACTGTTCAATTGCCACCACATAACACCTAGGCTACCACATTTTGACTGTAACTACTAAACCATACTAGTGAATTAAGCTAGCACAAATGCACTCACATAAGTAACTTCAGTTTGCCACATACAAACCTACTATTTAACCTTTTTCACAGGTTCGTAGCCGATAAGAATTTTGAAAAGATAGCACCCACAAGTGGCAATTCTGGAACGTGAATTGTGAAGTATATTCATTAAAAAAGAAGCCCCAAACCAAAACAACCAAACATCCAAACTCAAACTGAGGGATAACAAAGGCTGACACTAGGACAAAGACAGCTGTAAGAGCATCTAAATAAGATTTTTTTGCTGTGAAGAGCTGGGAGAAAGGCACTGAACAAGAAGGTAAGAGTGGTCAGACTGGCTCCAACCAAAAGCTCATCTACGATGGTGTTGATAGCATATGTCCATACATTTCATGTGGTTTGTTCAAACTTTTATGGTTTTAATATTTTGTACCTTCTATGAAAACTGGTTTGCTGCTAGATGACTGTGTAAATGAGATTTGATAAATGATCATATATTAACATTATGGTTGAAACAATAGACAAAGGGTAACCAGGGAGATAATTACAAAAGTGTAGTCAAGTGATTAACTAGTAATTATTCATAAGTTTTGGAGTTCTTTGCTCTTATGACTAGATGTTCCTGTAGGCTAGATGAGAACAACGTTGAAACTGACCACATGTGATTGGAACTGCGTTAAGCTTCAAGATCAAAGAACAAGAACAAAGACTTCAAGGACAGCCAGCAAGAACCTCAAATGGGTCGGTGGTCACAAAAGCAGCCCTTCGACTCAAAGGGATCCTGCGTTGCACAGGATCGGATGTAGGCAGTACTGCGATAATCAGTTATAATTGTTTTTGTGTAGATGTATGCTAATCTGATTAATATGCAATTAGTTATTCTATATAACCTGTTTGTGCTAAAGCTGTGGTACGCACGTTAGGCGGAATTATCCCCCGTGCACCCAGCGCTGCAATAAAGAATGCCTGCTTTCTAAAACTCCAAAACGAGTCTCAGAGAGTTTCTTCGACCGGCTTTTTGGTACCAGCGTCTTCCCTCTGACGAAGAGCCTCAAACGGGGGCCTAGGCGCGACGGTAAGAGGCAGGCAGAAGAAGAGGGGTGCACATAAGCTCCTCATGGATATCCCCCCCCCCCCCAAAATCTGTTGCCCGGGGCCTCCTGCAGCAAAGGCAGGCCCGCCACGCTGAACAAAGAGCCCCCCCCCCCAAAAAAAACCCCAAAACCAAAACCAAACCCCGCGGGTGGGCCGTCGTACCCCTACCCGTGAGGAGAACGCTGTCTCTCCCGCCTCCTGCAGCCGGTAACCGGCACCGCCGGGGGTGAGGCCGGCGGGAGCGGTCAAGCGGCTTTCCCACCCCCCAGCTCCTATCTGAGGGGAACCGGCAGCAACAACGGCAGCTTCCCCCCCCGGAACGACCGCGCAGTAACTCACGGGCAGGCCCCGCCGCCTCCAGCCCGGCCCGGTCAGAGGGTCTCGGTCGACGCCGGTTCGGCGACATCACCCAGAAAAACGGAGAAGCCTCCGCGCCCTTCCGCTTCCGGGAGTAACCCCGCCCCTGCGCTATCACTGCCTTCATACGTCACTTCCTCCCCCGGTGCCTCGTCCGGCGCGCTTCCGGCGTGTGAGGGAGCACGCGCGGCGGCCGTTTGTAACGGCCGGGACGCGTTTTCCTCAGCGTTTTCCCGCCGCCATAGCTCGGTTCATCCCCTCAGCACCGCCATGGGCCTCACCCGGCAGTACCTGCGGTACGGGCCGGCCGCGCTTTTCGGGTTGGTGGGTAGCGCCAGGGGTAACGCGGCCTTCGTGGCCCTGCGAGGTGAGCGGGGCCGCTGCGTGGCCGTGCCGGCCTGCGAACACGTCTTCGTGTGGGATACGCGGAAAGGAGAGAAGGTGAGAACGATACCCGGTGAGCTGGTGGAAGAAACTTTGTGAGACTCGTTTTGGAGTTTTAGAAAGCGGGCGTTCTTTATTGCAGCGCTGGGTGCACGGGGGATAATTCCGCCTAACGTGCGTACCACAGCTTTAGCACAAACAGGTTATATAGAATAACTAATTGCATATTAATCAGATTGGTATACATCTACACAAAAACAATTATAACTGATTATCGCAGTACTGCCTACATCCGATCCTGTGCAACGCAGGATCCCTTTGAGTCGAAGGGCTGCTTTTGTGACCACCGACCCATTTGAGGTTCTTGCTGGCTGTCCTTGAAGTCTTTGTTCTTGTTCTTTGATCTTGAAGCTTAACGCAGTTCCAATCACATGTGGTCAGTTTCAACGTTGTTCTCATCTAGCCTACAGGAACATCTAGTCATAAGAGCAAAGAACTCCAAAACTTATGAGTAACTACCTCTACTAGTAAATTACCTGGCTATACTTTTGTCTGTTGTTTCAATCATAGTGTTAGTACAAGATCTCTAATAATTATTTACCAAATCTCACTTTTACAGTCACCTAACGGCAAACCAGTTTCCACGGCTGGGACAAAATATTAAAACCATCAAAATATTTAGACATACCATACAGAATATATGGAAATATGCTATCAAGAGCGGGGTTTTCCCCTGTAGCCCTCCCTGGGGCTTTGGGGGGTGGTGAGGATGACGGAGGGGGGGGTGTGTGTGTAGTGTGGGCTCTTTTGGACCACCTGAAGCAAAGGTACTGGTGTTAGTGGGCTACGTTTTAAGGTACTGGTGTTAGTGGGCTACATTTTAAGGGAAATGTCACCTCTACAGCTTCCCCCTTTCTCTGTAGTCTCAGCACACCTTTGGGTTTGCTGGTGGTGTGAGTCTGCAGCTCTGGGTGCGGCCTGGCTGAATGGCACTGTTGATCCTTTGAGATTTGTCTTTGGTAGCTCAGCTGGGGAAGAGTGATGGCTGTGACTGTAAAGCTGTTCTCTGTTTAGCTGGTGAGCAGCAGCAGCACTGTGTGAAAGTTGTGGGATGAAACGGGGAATGTCGTGGAGTTTGTGTTTTGCCTGTGGAACCGGGCTTCCCATGTGAAAGTTGTATCCCTTAGGGGGGTTGTGAGCTATAACTTTAAGGACTTTGCCACAAGTTTACTCCTGTCAGATTCTGAAATCATTGTAAGTATTGCTGTCTGCTACAAACTGAATTCAGGGTTTGCTTTACAGCCCCTACAGTGTTGACTGCTGGTGTGTTGTTTCGGAGATGGTTTTTATCATTCTCAAGTTCTCGTGCGGTCTGTGGAAAAGCAGCTCTGTCCTATACCTGAGAAAAGGCCAAGCAAGAGAGGATGAGTCAGGAAGAAGTTTTCAGACTTTACTCTCAAACAATGTTCCTTGCCCTCTGGCACTTCAAATGCAGGGGCAGAAATTTGGGCTTCTGAGTTCCAGGCCTCATTCTGCACCAGTTTCCTGTTTGATTATGAGAAATTACTTCTCTCCTAGCTGCTGTCTGCCTTGTAAAATGGGGCTAATGACACTGTATTTGCTGCAGGGAGCTGAAAAATAAACTTCTAAAGTAGCAGAAGCACTCAGTTGGAAGTTCAGTAGAAGAGCAGAGTGTATTCTTGCTGCTGTGCAAGTATCTGACTCTGACATGTCATTTATCAACATTATACACGTTTTGTCTCTTAAAAATTGCAGGTTCTTATCCTTAAGGGTCTCAAGCAGGAGGTCAGTTGCCTCTGCCCCTCTCCAGATGGGTTGCACTTGGCTGTTGGGTATGAAGATGGATCAATCCGTGTTTTCAGCCTCCTAAGTGGAGAAGCGAATATCACTTTCAATGGACACAAGGCCGCAGTTACAGCCCTGCAGTATGATCATCTGGGTGGCCGGCTGGTATCTGGCTCAAAGGTGAGGGTTGCACATCTGGAGGACAGCTGTTTCATAGAGATGTTCCATGGAGAAGGCTGACCTGCACTAAAATGTTTGGTATTTTAAGTGAGCTGTGTGGCCTCTGCCTATAGGCAGAGAATAGCAGTGAGAGGAGTTAGGGCTGCAAGACAGGGATGGAATTGGGGAGCCTAGGGCTGGGAGATGAGCAGGGGCTGCAGGGCAGGAGAGGGGTGCTAACAGAGCTGTTAAAATGAAGAAGCTTGTGATGTCAGGAATAGCAAAAGCGACTCAAGCCGGGGCAGAGATGCATTTATTGGTCTGAATGTACCTTTGGGGAAGGCATGTCACTTGCATTAATCACCCCTGACGTTCAAATTCAGAGTGAGAAGGCGTGCTCTCAGATAATCTTTTCAGTCTCATAGCAGAGGTAGATGTTTTGCAGAGACAAATGCCAGTCCCACGGAGACACTCTGTCTGTTTCAGGATACAGATGTCATCGTGTGGGATGTCATCAATGAGAGTGGCCTGTACCGGCTGAAAGGACACAAGGATGCTGTCACTCAAGTCCTTTTCTTGAAGGAGAAAAACCTGTTGGTCACCAGGTGAGCCAGGTGAAGCGTAGTGGTCAATCAGGAGAGCAGCCATGGTTTTACTTGCAATTTAGACATCCTAGGTGCTACAGCTGTTTGTATTTTCCTTCTTGACTCATGAAATCTCAGACCCACCAGCATCTTAGATGATCATATTGGAATATGATTTTTTCACATCCACATATTTCTTAAGTCTGGTGCCTGAATCCAAATGTGGTAAGCGGAACTGAAATGGCTATCCTGAAAAGTAGTGTTTGGAAAAGGGTTTAACTTGCTGGTAAAATTTTTGTAACAAGAGGTAGTGAGTATGTGTTCATTATGTATGTAACTATTTTTGCTGTGTATCTTGAAGAATTAAGCAGACTTACCTTCTGTCTGTGTAATTCACACAGCAATGTGACAGAAAAATTGCTTCCTAGTAAGCTGTAATTATAGGAATTAATTAAAAGATGATAGATGGTTTTTTGAGTTGGTTTTCAGTTATGCAGCATGAGCTGCTAGTTGACTTTAATAATAAGCGGTTGACAGAAGATGCTCTTGCTCAAATATCAGTCAATAATTTTTTATTTATTAATACGCTATCCAATAGCTTAGTAAAAAAGTGCATGCAACCAGTTCAGTGTAAAATTAGAACAAGTTTCTTGTGCTTTTTTTGTTGTTTCAAATGGAAAAAGTAGTATTTTGTTTGTTTGGTAGATGATGCCTGTTTCTTAATACAATTTCAAGTCTTTGCAGGTCAACTTTAGAAATACTTCTTAATTCTCTCAGTAGCTAAATTGAGATAAAGAATTCCTCTCCTTTTTTTTTTTAGTTTATTATCAGAGTAGAGATGTTATCCTGTTATTCTGGAGATGCAAAGTTTTACTTCCTTACTTTAATTGGTTTTTTTTTTTGCCCAAGCAGCTGACTGCAGTCTTTTGTGTACAGAATTTCTTGTGATATTTTCATATGTCCAATTTACAAGTACCTTTGAATCATACGCAATGAAAGAGATAGCCTAACAGTAAATATCACTTGTAATCAGATTTTTTTGGTCCTGAGGGAGCTTAGTAGTGCAACGAGTTTTATATTTTGATTTAGTTGAAACTTATTGAGGAAAATAGGCTCTAACAAAGTTACCAAAAAATAAAGTAAGTATTAATTGTTGTAGGTTGTACTGACAGAATCTGTATAAATGTTGAAATTGCTTTTCTTGGGTGCTCTTGTAGTATTGGGGTAGCATAACATAACCAGAAATGTGTTTTCAAGGAGATCTAATCCTGTGGGGTCTTTGAAGGACTGAAACAGCTGTAATTCTCCATTAGGAGGAGCAGCTCCAAATCACTGTTCAAAACGAAGGAATCTGCTTTTCTTGTAGCCTGGTCAATGCACAGGCATGGCACACATTGCAAATGGGGAGGAGGGTTTTAGAGGCAGCTTCAGAATTGATCAGTACTTTGCTCTTAGTGTTCTCACCCTAAGTAAAGAGTAGTGTTCTCACCCTAAATAAGTGAGAAAGGAAGCTGTGTGACACGGGGGCTTGCAGCTGAATCCAGAGGAGGAAGCATTTTTCAGTGACTTGCTAGATACCTTTTTGCAGCGCCTTTGTATTGCTATACTTCATTCTTGCATAGCTTGCGAAATTCAGTGTCTGAGCAGCTGCTCTGCAACGTGTTGTTGCACGTTTTGGATTTTTTGTATTTCTACCACTTTTCTAAGCATGTGAGTTCTGGCAATCTTTCCTCATGTCTTGAGTTTTTCTTTGTTCCAGTGGCAAAGACACATTGGTGAAATGGTGGGATCTGGACACCCAGCACTGCTTCAAAACTCTGGTTGGACACCGTACTGAGGTAAAGAGGATGTGTGGGGAGCTGTTGGGGTGGAGGGACTTTGCATTACATGCTATGGCTCACTTTGTGCTTTCCCTGCTTTCAGGAGTTGTAAACTGTCACTGTGATACATTTTGCTTGTCATTAGGCTTTAGGGATGAGCAAATGAGAAACTTCCAAACTTTCCAGGAGCTGTCATCAATGTGCAGTGGATGACAATTCCAATACAGGTGTCCCTGGAGGAGGTCCCAGCTAGATCCAGTCTCTACTTTGTTGCCGTTTAAATAAATCAATTAAAGATGCTCTGCTGTTGTTATGATAGTTAAAGGAGCCAT